GATGCCTCAGGGGAATCTGTAGTATCTTATTTCTAATAGAGGTTGATATGCCACTAAAAAAAAAAAAATCAATCAACCAACATGAAAATTCTTTCATGACATTAATCAATATAATATCCTATATCGTAAAGAAATCAAAATGTAACTTCAACATAAAACACACATATCATCACCTCTAATAATTATGTCCACACAAACATGTATATGCACAAAAGCTGAGTATCATCTACCATGTATTCTGTTGTGAAGGCAGAATAACATTTATTTACTTTAAAGCTCTCCAATGACACTTAAGGTTTTGATATGCTGTGAAATCAATCAACATCTCCAACTAATAAATTTTTTTTTCCTGTCTGCTCCCTCTTCTTTTGCCTAATGTGGTATCATATAGTATCATATAGGATGGCAGTAGAAAGATTGTTGGCTCTCTTATGACTCGTCCATATCATTTCAATTTTTTCTTGCTGACATTGGATATGAGATCTTCCTGTTTTTTGTTTTTTTTTTATACCTAATAGTGTCTCATAGTTTGTGTATTTATGATGCAGTCAATGTAGAAAATGCCTCAGGTGGATCAATAATAACTTATTTCTAATGATTGGAGTCTTCACTGTAATTCTGTTGTTAATGTCCAAGATTTGCAGGCGTACAGAAAGATCAAGAAGGCCAATGCACACAATTGTCTGATCTTTGTTTCCAGACAGATGTTCTTGTCTCTCCAGATGGGTCTTAGTTTTGTGATATCTACCGTTGTTTGTGCTGCTCTTGAAATTATTCTATTCAGGAGCCTTCTTTGTTGATAACAATGCAAAGATATTTGAATTGGATCATTACTTTAAGTTCCTGAACTTTCAACTTGGAGGAATCTCCCATCTCTCCCCTTTTTTTTTTTTTTTTTTTAGCGATATGCTCCAACCATGTTTCCTGAGAAAAATTAAATAACTGATTCTTAGATTTGATCAGATCTTAACCTGACTCAGTTCTCAAATATAGAATGCTTCTTGCTATTCTTACCAAAATTCCAATCTGCTTTTCTAAAGAGCATGCCTATATGTTTCAGATCATTGCTTTAAGTTAATTGATAATTAATTACTTTTCATAATCAAAGTGTTTAATTAACCTTCAGGTAAAAAACGTAATTGCTATTAATGAATTGAGTATGGATACATCTTTTGGTGATGCTCTGGGTGATCAGATATAGAATATTGATATGTTTAAAATAAGAGTTGAGCTGGATCAAGAAGACAATTGTCTGATCTTTGTTTCAAACATGAAATCTTTAGTAGGGTTTCTGGCTACTAAAAAAACAAAAAAAAAAAAAAACTAATATTTATGTAGAAAGCATTCAGTTTACATAACCCTAAATACAAAATTTGGCAAAACCAAATAACTTTTGCAGAATGTCAGCCAAGTCTGACACAAAGTCACAAATATGGAGCATCGGGTGATAAAGGAAGTTTACTGCACACTATTTACATTATTCAGACTATTGTCCTCATCTTTGTCACCATATTTATTACGTTTCGGTCATTGTACACTCCGGCCTTCTTCAAGTGGTTGGAATGTCGAACTGAACTACCATATTGAATGGATGTCAGTTATCTTATGTTGATTCCCCTCTGAAAGTTCTCCACTGCCTTAACCAGGTATTGAACTCACACTGTTTGGGTCCTGTTACTGGATTTAACCAACACCTTTATCCACTGTGCCATGTGTCCTCAAGGACTAGAACAGTGTACCCCAGTGACCAACATTCCAATCACCTTAAGAAGGCCGGAGCGTACAATGGCTGAAACGTTATAATAAATATGGCGACAAAGATGAGGACAATAATCCAAGTAATGTAAATAGTGTACATAACCTCATCTCAGAAATATAGACAGATACTGAAGTTTACTGCAGGAGTCATAGCCTACTAGACAAATGTGTTAACCATTGCATCATAGCAAGAGCCCAAAATTAGTGTTTATAAAATTGGAAGTAATTTTTTTTTTTTAACTACCCAACAGAAGTTATGAATGCATCTGTTTGTCTTATTTTTCACACAATATCTCCAATTTTTGAATATCAACATTTTTTGGAAGAGTGGGCCAAGGATTGATTCCCTTAGTTCCACTAATTCTAACCTTTATGACTAAGACCCACCATGGCCACGCATATTGTTGCAAACCACCCTCATTCTCTTTGTATCCCATTGGTAAGATGCAAGTAGTTTCTTTCCATGATCTTCTGTTTTGTGGAACTGACTCCCAAGAGGATGCTTCCCTGCTCAATACAATCTTAACTTGTTCAAGTCTAGGGTTAAATATTTTCTTTCCTACATATCCCCATAAACTGTGCCTCTTACTCTGTAACCCTCTACCTCGAGTGGCTCCCGGGCCTTATACAGGATGAACATTATTGTAAAAAAAAAAATATCTAATGAAAGATATTCCATATATCGAGATAATAGTCCAAAATAATGAAGTTGAAAAGAAAAAAAAAAAGGCCAATAAAGGCTTAGTTACCTCCCCTGCATTCAGTTTTTTTTTTAATTTTTTATGACAGTGATGTTGGCAGAAGTATATGCTTTTTGAGTGCTTTTTAGCAGTCCAAGTTTTTGTTCATTTTTGGGTTTTTTCATATTTTTTTTCGACTTGTAAAGCCTGGGCAACAATTAAAACCCCAAACTTACATTCCACCAAGGAAGATAATATCTGTATATAATGTCTCATGTTGAATCTGGTGTCTGTAAATAATTTCATTGTTTGCATGTTTACTTCAACACTATTGTTATTGACAAAAAAGACATTAAAAAAAAATTTTGTTACCTGAATAAAAATAATAATAAAAAAAAACAACCATCAATAATTTATACATGTTGGGAATGACATTTTTGTATTGTGTTTCTTGCTAACAAGGTGACTTCATGACACCAGGAACAAAATGATTGTCAAAATTAACCTTTATTTATACATCCTTTTTGTCACTAATGGAAAGTTACAAAGTTAAAATTAGTCTATTATGAGACTAAATGAGAATTAACGAACATTTGGTAGGAAGATTGTGTTGCACCAATTTTCTAAGTGAGGATCTGCCTGGGCAGGGTTTTATTTGTTTCACTGTTTAATATTTATGTACACATTTTAAAAATGGACAAGTTACCCTTGTGCTGTTTCTTTAAAAAGTAAATGGGTTTCTTCAAGTTTGTAACAATAAAAATCAATTTAGATGAAGTGAAAGGGTTTTTTTTTTTATGGGAGGGGGATTATTATCTACATTTATATCCCCACACTATAAATGAAAGACTTGTACAAGTCACAAATCTAATATTCATCAATACACACACAAAGCAATTCCATTACATTCCTCTTAGAAATCAAGTTGTAATTTATATCCACACTTGAAATGTCTGATCAAAATTTGCACCTGATAAGTTCTCTTTTAAAAAACTTGAAGCAGAGCTTCTTTCTTTTTTTTTTTTTTTTTTTTTTAATTATTTTTAACAGAGAACATCAACAACCCGCAAAGCATTTTATTTGTCAAGTTACTGCTTTCATTGCTACACAAACACTACTTACATTTTACAATATCTAATTATCAAAAAGTAGATAACGGCCTCTTGAGATGAATTTAAAAGCAAAGATTTTTTGGGAAAAGTTTAACCCTTGTGCCCGCAGTAAAATGGTGTCAAAAGGATGGTTTTCCTTTGACACCGCTATTATTTTGTATTACCTTCACTCAATCAGCAATGTGTTTTTTTACAAGAAAAGAAAAAAGGTGATTAGAATTTTAATAAAATCCAAACACATGAAAGTGAATTTATACATTTCCTTTGTTCTTGAGAATTGACAACAAAAATATTAAACACTATTCAATTGTTCATTTATAAGAATAACTTTATTTTACAATATTCTAAAATGTCAACCAATACAATGTTTATCATTTACCTTCATATAATGAAAATATTTTTTATTCATAATTTATAAAATTTTGTGAATCAACTATAATCTTTACAATTTTATGACACTCAATTTCACAATTTGCCATGCTTTGCTAACTATTCCAAAAATTCATCGAAAATTTTTGTAGGATTTTATAAATTTTTGAATAAAAAGATTTCTTTTCAAACTTATTTCTTTATAAAATGTTAAATAATAAATATTGCATTGTACTTGGTTCACATCTTATCTTGAAATTAAAGTAAGAGAAGTGTCAAAAAAAAAAAAAAAAAAAAAAGAAAAAAAAGCCTTTTAACACACTGGCATTTTTTTGTGGGTAAAAAGGTTAACGTTTCCAATTTTTCTTACTTTTGTTAAAAAAATACTTATAAAAATAAAATTTAATGAAGTTAGTGATAATTAAATTTTGTTAAATTCAAGAAATTTATTGTCTCAAAGTTGTATGTGTTAAAATTGAGAACTTTAATTGTTAAAATTTATAAAAATCATTGATGTATTCCTAATCCTCATAAACAAATTAGTAACCAGCAAAAAAATTTGTTGCACCAAATTTATAAAAAATATTTGATGTATATAAGGACAAATAATGAAAAAAGGGGGGTGGTCTCAAAAATCTCCCACATAACATACATGAAAAGTTAATGGATCTGGTCGGCTAATGTTTACCCAGATGCCATAGATTACCAGTACTTGTAGCTAGCCTCACTCCATAATACTGGAATATTAAATGTAAATAGGGGAGGTTTATATGCAAAGTTGAGGGATCTGGTAGGCTAATGTTTAGCCAGATGCCATAGACTACCAGTACTCGTAGCTAGCCTCATTCCATAATACTGGAATATTAAATGTAAATAGGGGAGGTTTATATGTCATTTAACATGATACTTGAACAAACAAGAATTGTATTGCTTTTAACTTTTAATCAAAAATATAACATCACATTTTTCAGCATAAATTTATGGAGGTGGGGGGGTATAGACGCAAAACAACCACAAAGTCCCCAACCACCACCACCACCACCACCACCACCAATATCGAACAGAAATAGTATTTCAAAATTCAATCTTTTTCCCACAATCTTTTTAATTCTTCTTTTTTGAGTGATTTTATGTGCTTGTAGATTTCCTGGTGTAAATCTTCCATGTTTTGGTCAGCATTAATGATCTGAAAACAAAGGAAGAGAAAACAAAAATATTAAATTAGGAAATTCAATAGATGTTTTAATCCAAAGTAGGGATGATAATCTCAATGGATAATTTGCTAGAAATTAAAAAAAATAAACCCTCTACAATCAACCCCAGAAATGATAAATTTCCAACTTTGCCCTAATCAGTCTCAAAACACAAGACAAGGTGACAATTTGAATTCAAAGTTTTTTTGGGTTTTTTTAAAGTAATTTTATCTTAAGGAGGAAAGACAAAAAAAAAAAAAAAAAAAAAAATACTAGGGTGAGGTTGCTGCAGTAAGAATAAATCTTTTATCCATCGTATCTTATTACTGTATGTCTCCTAGAAATTCCAATTGCCTCACTCAGATAAAAGTGTCATTCTTACTTCCATTTCCCTTAAAACTTCCTTGATACATCATCCTGAAGATGAGAATTAAGCATCAGTAAAGGCCGAAGCCTGTTTTGTAAAGTACATGACAGCAAAAGTTAAAAATATCTCCAACAAAGGAAACAGTTCAAGGAACAATGGCAATTGCTGGGTTGGTGAGATTCATTAATATAGTTGGTGAAAGGAAGATATGAGATTAAAGAAAAATGCTCTTCAGTTATCCGGTCAGTCTTGTACTTACCTTCCAACTTTCATCTTTAATTTGCATGAATTGTTCAAGGACTTTGTTTTGGAATTGTGTTTTTTCATATCGCTCCTCCCCAAACCCATTCCTTTTGGCTCCAGCTTCTGGGCTGAGTTGCAGAAAGATGACACAGTCCGGCTTGGGAAGACCAACATCTGGCTGCTTGCACCATTCCAATGGAAGCTGATAAGGGAAGACAAAAAAAAAAAAAAAAAAAAAAAAAAAAAAAAGAATATTCATTGTAGAATTTAATTGTATCTTGTCAAGGTTTGAAATGTGTATAACAACGTTTTGCTGTTCTTGCCAAAAACAGTAGGTTAGGTGTATGGGAAAGTGTTTGGTCCCAATGTGAACATGCCTCCAACATCTTGGTCAATTTAACTGGCAATGTGACAGGAAGATACAGGTTCATGCCTCCCTCAAGTAGAAAATTATATATATATATATATATATATATATATATATATATATATATATATAGAGAGAGAGAAACTATTTCTATCTGATATCTAATGCATTTTTCCTCTAAGAGCTTTAAATTATATATATATATGAAGAAATATAGTCTTAAGGTGTGCTATATTTATGGGATAAAGTGCTCAATATCAGAGATAGAGCGTGTGTAAATATAAAAGTAAACATAAAGTCAAAACTTAGAGGCGACAGTCTGTCTCATGCTATATGCAATCATCAGGCCTGACGATTGCATATAGCATGAAACAGACTGTCACCATAAATGTTGACTTCTATGTTCACTTTTTTATTTATTAATATATATATATATATATATATATATATATATATATTAAACTTGGCTGATTAATATTATGTTCAACTTTGGTCCAGAATTTCGTAGCTGAAACTTTTTATAATTGTTCAGTTCACTTATCAGGAGGTTTCAGCAATTGATGGGTGTTTTTTTTTTTCCTCCATTTTTATACATTATATTTATGCATTAGTTGCGATGTCCTTATTATTGGTGTGAGATTGATTTCTTTTTTCTTTTTTTCTTTTTTCTCTTTGTTTTTTGGTGTGTCTAAACTCTTTTTTGCAGATTAGTTCTAATATTTTCATATTACTAGAATCCACTTGGATTACATAGCAATGGATTTTTTGGTTTACATTATATATATATATATATATATATATATATATAATGAAATGGACAAAGTCCAATGATTATTTTAAAAATGTATAAACATAAAAATGTCTTAAAATATACATACATATATATATATATATATATATATATATATATATATATATATATATATATATATATATATATATATATGCACACACACACACACACACACACACACACATATACATACATATAGACATATACACACATATATATCTATCTATAAAAGGCAGGATGTGTGTGTGTGTGTAACAAATGCATGGTGACTTAATTTTCAATGGATTTGCACCAAAATTTACATGCACATGCTCCAAGTTAGCGGGAAGGCCAAGACTGACTTTGCATTTCCCAACTCCCATTGATAGTGGAAATAATCAATTTTTTCATGCTTCTAGCAGTTTTCATGTAGTTTGTGGCCATTTTGTACTGGCCAGAGTGAGAGCCAATAGCTGACTGCCATGAATAGGCAGGAAGATTCTATTGGCCAGCGTGAGAGCCAACAGCTGACTGACATGAATGTTAACTAGCATGCAAAAAAAAAAAAATTTAAAAAAAAATCAATAGCTGCATTTGTCACAAGTGGGAAAAATTTAAATCTGCATGGCACTTTACTCCAATTGGCTCATTCGCTTGCTTAAACTCAACGTTGATTCTGATACCGCAGGACTGGGTTGGGTGTGAAAAAGTATTTGTTGTTAACATTCTTTTTTCATTCGATTTTTCCAGTTGTGAGTCATTTTTTAAAGCTGGTCGTTTTGTGTTCATTTTGTTTAGTTCTTATTTCGTAACAGATTTAATGTTTAGTATAGAGCTTAGAAAAAATTTGCAGTGTGAGATAGGCAAGAAGTAAGGCATGTAGCAACATCAGCATAGCAAAGGGCACTCCTTTAAAGGCAAGGAAGGGCAAAAATATTTTAAGTCAAGTGATAGCGATTGCTGTATGAGTCGTATGATTTTTGATTCAAGTACGGGCAACGCCGGGCCATGCTGTGTATTTATATACATATATATATATATATATATATATATATATATATATACACACACACCCACACATATATATTCACAGACAGCCTGTTTTGCTGTATCAGAGCTCATCAGTGTGGCTAGACATCCAATTGTTTCAAGCTGGGATAAAAAAATTTGGCATTAGTCAGTGACTCTACCCCTAAGCTATTGGCGCATGGCAGAGAAAGGGAATCTTAACGTATTATATACGTGATGAATATAAACGCTAGGCGTGCAGCCAGAGCACTCAATTCTGTCGAAGAGCTATAAACATGTCTGGTTGAATAATTTGGACATATTATGTTTATTTTCATTTTGATCCTCAGATTCTCTGATCAATTTCTTAATGCTGATATTAAATTCATTAAGGAAGGCACCATAGTTTTTCAAAGTATTTTCAATCTCAATTTAGATCATGCATATTTAACAAACTGTGCAAAAGTTAACTCTTCCATGAAAAGAAATTTTCTGCACTGAAAAAAGAAAAGAAAAAGAAAACCCCCCCTCATTGATAATGAATTTCTTGATTACATTGTTGATGAACAAATTAGACGAGCCATTAGAAATATTAGCATAAATCAAAAAGAACATAATACTTCCTCAAATAACCCTAAACATATAAATCTAATATACTGCAATCAAATGAATTCTTACTACAAACAAGATGAAAAAATCCTAGAGAAATTCATAAGCACTAATCTATTCCCCACTGATCCCAGTAAAAATTAAAAAAAATAAAACTAATTGTATACTATACTAAATTTAAGACAACTGACTTAATCATCTGCAATAACTCTTTTCTGTCAACTAATGTTTTGCAGAAGACCAACATTCTATATCAATTTAAATGTCCTTTGGGAGATTGTATATCTGATAAAAAAAAATTAATATATATGTTGGTTTCATGACAACATTATTAAGGCAACTTACACTACCTATGTCAGTTACAAGCTCTATTGCACAACATTTAAAGACGCATTCCTGTCCACCTTCACAAGAAAAATACCAATAACGAGTATACTCCATCACAAAAATAAAAAACAAAAACTTCAAATTCTCGAGGCCCTCTATATAAGGAGCAAACAACCAACCCTAAATAAGATGAGTTATGAGTAATAAGGGTTTTAAAAATGTTTATAATAGCAGTCTCTTTTAAAATGTTTAAAATTATAATTATACAATTAAAAGTTACCTCCCTTAGATCAAGACATTTAAAAAAAAAAAAAACGCCATAGTTTTTTAACAGTTAATTTTAACAGTGCACGACGTTCATGTGTGTTTGAAATAATTATAACAGAGCTTGTTTCATACATATTTACAAAAAATCAAAAATAAAAACTATAATAAAAAAAAAAAAAAATCACAACTATCAGTTACATTGATATTTTGTCTTAGCAATTCACCACTGGAGATGATCTCAGATGAGATTGAAAGTACTTGGGGAAAATCAAAATGAAAATAAAAGCTCCCCCTCCCCCAATTTTGCCATTTTTCTTTTAACCAGACCCCAAAAAAGTCACAAGGAAAATTTTACACTCATGAATACAGACAAAATTATATTCTCTTTGAGTATAAATTCTGTGTAATAGTATGCTGGTAATGGTAATATTAGCAGTTTCCCTATAAGGAAACATTCGGCATTCACTGAAAGGGCAGCCAGTACGTTTTTTGTTTTTGTTTTTTAAATTAATAAAATTTTTCTTAAAACAATTTTTTCAGGGAAACATATTTCTCAAGTCCATTAGCTTTTATCGCTCTTTCTAGTATTGATGGGGGGGGGGTCCTATCTAATCTAACATTTTGTTTGTAGTAATGGAGAATGTTAACAAATTATGTCATTATGTTCTCTTCTTTTTACCTGTGATATCCATTTTAGTTGTTGCTACTGTTGGTACTCCTCAAGTGATGTGGTTCCTGTTATTTGGTACACTTTGTGCCAATCCAATGTTTAAAGGATGATGATCTTTGCTGAAGTTCTCAGGTTTCATTTGCTCAAAGCTATTTTGATGATATTTGAATTTTGGCAGTCATCCTTTTTAACTAATCAGAAAAAGGACCTTTAAATCTAGTATATGTCCAATAGCTTGATTAAAGCTTACAAAAAGTAAATGTGTCATCAGTAAAATGTCTATATCAAAAGGCTTCACACATAAGCAAAGCAAATTTTGACCTGGAAGACATTAACTAAATTTTCACAATCAGAGGGCAAACCAAAAACTTTTGACCCCCAAAAATATGCCCTCATAATGTCCTGTCATTGTTTATTAAATTTATCAATACATGAGAATCTGCTGCATGCCCCTGTGGCACACTATTTACAAAAGAATCTTGAATTTTCATCCCAAATTTACAGTTTTTGGTTTCTTTTACAGCATCTCAACCTCAATGGGTTATTTAATGCTGACAAGATTTTTATTGCTGGTAATATTTCCCCCCCCCCCAAACCCTATTTTTCATAGTGCTCCGACTCCAGTTTGGGGGTTAACTACTTGCCCATATGCTCGGACCCTAACAGATGCTACCACCCCAGGTCAGGGTGGACCGAGGAACACCAGCAATTAAGAAGTGGTTCCATGCTCCTCAAAACCTCCTAGGTCAGAGGCCTTGCTGCTGGATGTAGTCTAATGTCTTACCCAGGACACTACACTGTTTTCTCCTCTAAACACTTCAAAATTCTTTAATATTAATCACAGGCATGAATTAACTTTAATTTTTTTTTTTTTTACCTAATTGAAAACCCAAAATTAGTTTTAGTAAATGGACATGTTCAGACTTACCCCTTTTGCTGCAGAATAGGCTACGCCAGAGAAAGCATAGCGATCAGTTATCACTGTTGTACCAGACTCCAGGAGTTTTATTAACTTGGAACTAAAATAAAAAAATAAAACTGATTTGAATTTATGCAAACTGGACCAAGTCTAAAAAAATAAAATAAAAGGTAACTTTTCAAAATTGAGAGATCTCAAATGCTATAAAATAATCAATGACAAGGAAACTAAACAAGAGACATGGCTCTACAGAAGGATGCTATGAATACCATGGACAAAATATATGAGCAAAGATAAAGCTTTAAAGAAAATGGAATCAAAAAGGAACAGTTGAAATTTCTAGAACACAAAGTGGAAAGAAGGTTTGGAAAATTTAACACGCATAGGACATACTAAAAGCAAGAGGGACAAAAAGGAGCCGAGAGTAACATAACTAAAAAGTTTGTGTAAATGGATGGCAGGATATGGGCAAGAAGTGATGGTAAGGAATCAAACATTACTTGGTACTATAAAGAATAGGAAATTGTGGAGAGCCATGAACTCTGTCCTTTTACTTGTCTGGGGATCCTCTCTGCCCAGAGGCAGAGAGTTTGACCAGCACAGCCAGAGACAAATCTCCAACTGCAGACCAACATACAGTATTTACTACTGTAGTTATGTGAATGGCGACATACCCATTATCGTCCACAGGTATGCTACAAAATATAAATTTCAATGCTTAACCAAGGCCATTGTCCCCTGTAAGAGTAGATATAAAATCCTAAAGAAGGGAATAGCAATTTCTTGTTTAAAGTGACAAGGCTTGACCAGGCACCTGATACAAAAAACTGAAAAGCTTAAATACAGCTCCAGGATTGATTTTTCTTTTTAACCAGCAAGATTGCCAGGCCTCTTGCAATTTATTTAAATGCAATTAGCTACAAGGTAGATCTAACACTCTTTCACTCTCTGCATCTTAGTGGAATTATCACCTCCCTTGGGGTGAAATGATTAAAGATGTTAATTGCTATACAACAAGATATGTGGCCAATTTTAGTATAGAATGAGCCACAAAATAAAACTTATATTCATCAATAGACATTAGCAATTATTCAATAAGGCATCATCAACTTTGGTACAGAATCAATCACAAAATAAAACCTATATTCTCTACCAATGGTTTATGAGTTCAGCTGTTCTAGTTCCACGTGCCATGTTTGTCAAGGACACATGGCACAGTGGATGTCCTTTGTCATTGGTTAGATCCCACTGACAGAACCCTGAAAAGAGTGTGAGTTCAATACCTTTTAAGGCAGTGGAGAACTTTCAGAGAGAAATTAACAGATAACTGATAACTGACATCCATCAAACATGGCACGTGGAACTAGAAACAGTCTACCCCATCTTATATAAAATAAAGGGTTCAGTTCGAAATTCCAACCACCTGAAGAAGGCCAGAGGTATAATATATGAAACGTGATAAATATGGTGACAAAGATGAGGACAATAGTCCGAATAATGTAAATAATGTACATAGTACCTCATCTCAGAAATATAGACAGATTTTTAAATGTTTTATCCAATTTTCCACTGTTTCCAAAGTTAATTTTCCAGCAATCAAAATATATAGAATTTTTTTCATTGGCCGCTTTATTGCTTACCTGTTAATGATTGTTTTATGTTCTTAAAAAAAAAAAAAAAAAAAAATATATATATTTTACATACACTTTTTCCCATCTGTTTGCTGAGAAGAGAAGATGGATGGATCTATCATCAAGTTCTAGCCTTTTATTCAAGTAACTGTCAATCACATCACCCAATTTGGTATTTCGATCTGCAAAGAAAGAAAAAAAAAAAAAAATAGAAAAGTAATCTTTCATTAAATACAGAGTTTATTATGTTTAGATACCCTGATGTGCCAAAAGTAAGAGGTGAAGGTAGGTCTTAATTTGACCTCAGTAACAACCAGAGCCCACAAATCTGCACCAAACTTAATTGTGAACGCCATAACTTTTTCAATGGTTGTATATTATACAGCCCATCAGGGTTAAGTACTGGTTCTGAATTCACTTGTTCTTCTCCTATACTGGCTGCCAACCATGGCTAGAGCCTCCAGCTGCTTTGTAATTTAAACCATAGCTGGGGGGGAAGAGATGGACACATACCTTTTCCAAGAGTATTTAAGCAAAAGAAAATGTAATAAATTCTGACAGAATCCCAAACTCCACTGATTTTCTGTTCTGTGCCATGTCACCTGCACATCCAATATACTATAATGCAATGAAAATGACCAGACCTACATCAGTTCGGCTTTAGCGTGAACACTGGCTTAGGTTGCTCATGGCAAGAAAACAGATTACAGGTATCATAGAAAAGTACCAAACAAATGGAATATTCCATTTCAAAAATTATGGAAATATCCAACCTGATGAAAGGTTAACACATACTACAAACAATATAGTGACCAATCACAGGTCTTTGCTGATTGCAATTACAGGTATCCATCTAAAATTATCTGTGGTAACAGGCAAGTGATGCTATTTCAAATCACATCCAAGGACTATTAGAACAGAAGAGCCACCAAGGTGGCCCTGTTAACACTATAGTCACAGGATCTCATCATTTTTTTTTACATAACTAATTAAACCCTGGAAGACTAACAATGTGTGATGTGGCTCAGAACAGTGACCAATTGTGTCAGACTAGAATTGTACTAATGCATCAAACAGTAGTTTTTTGTATAACTTAACATTTTGATTTGGAATTATGATTTAATCATTTTAAAACTGTATATGGTTAATTTTGTGGTCATCAGGGGACTAGTGTATCAAACAGGAGTCCCGTGGTGTATTTTAACATTATTTTGATTTGTAATCATAATTTAACCATTTATAATCATATACATTTCATTCTAACAAATGACACTGGCTCAAATCTTATTTGCATTCAATGCAAGAGGTATCAAATGCATATCCATCAAGTCAGTGTAGCATTCATGGAATATAGGAACAGAAGTATCACCAAGGTGGCCCTGTTGACATCAAACCTGGGCTCATGATAATGTGAAGTGGATCTGGGAGAATTGGCAAAAAGTGGCACTGTACAATGATTCAGAATTCCAGTTGTTTCAAGCTGATGTTGGGGTTTGAGAGGCTCTCTTGTCTTAGGCTGAATTAAAATCAAAAAGAAGTATAACACTGAATTCAAAACTGAGAAGAACTTCCAAAAAGCGTAGTTTGTTCTACACAAGCTTTCATTGCTATATAATCAAATCTGTGCCAGATGTCTGGTAGTTCAGATCTAAAACTGAACTGTTAAAACCTCATACATCGAAATCAATGGGAGAATCCACTATATGTAAATACACTAGCTGAGGTACCTGACATTGCCTGGGTGTACATGGCTGCAATTGTATAACCACATCTGCCCTGTCTAGAAATGTCTGCCTGCATCCCTGCATCATCCGTTGGTATACTAAGCTACTCCCAACCTCCATCTTTTTTACGATATGTCTTTCACAAGTGTTTGATTGTTCTTAATAAAGGGATTCTATCGATAAAACTTTCTTGTGTGGTTGTTGCTCAGTGTTAAATTGTTTCAATGTTTTAGATATTCAGTAAATTTCCTATGGCTGTAATAACTTTCAAATAGTATGGCATTGTTCACAAATCTAATAATCAAACAAAAACAGGGATGAAGTGTCAAAGCTTGATTCAATTGCAAGTGCAAATGTATGAATGCCCCCCTCCATCTTTGCATGATTACTGAAAACCTGGGGTTAAATAGAGGTTCTTTGGGAATTTTCCCCTTTTAATACTTCAATAATCCTTCTTAAACAATCTTTGCATCAAAGGTTGTTTGAATGCCAATTTAGGATGGAATCATATGAAGAAACTATTGGCTAAATGGCAAAAGCTGATTTTGGACCTAGTTTGTCGCAGATTTCATCCACTTAACTGAAATAATCTAAACCAAACATTCACGCAAGACAATTTGTGTGTCATATGTAATTTACATGGCAAATTTGGAAAGCATCGGATGAAAAACCAGAGAATTATGGCCAAAAAATGGGCTTTTTAAACAGTTTTTGGTTTTTTTATACATATACAGGATGGGGAATTTTTGCAGGACTAAAATCTTACGGATAAAACTATCTTATTTTTTGCATGATGGCAATTTTTTTCCTTACATTTTTTTAATTTTTTTGAAGAAAATTGGATAAAAATGAGGACATTATTGTTTTTTTTTATTTTAAGTAGTAACAAATCCAGTAAAATTTTTTTGTGTAACTTTTTTTTTAATTTTTGTTGAAGCCAATGTCAACAGGAAAACTATCAAGCACTCTACATAAACCTTGTAACATGAGCTATGTTTTGCATTAAGTGCAAGCAAACAATCACACTCAGACAGTAAAAATTTTGTTTTAATGTAACTTTGCCTTGGTTTTTTTGCCTTGTTTTATTGCCAAATATCTTTCAGTTTTATTTTTTTTCCTTTTTGAGAATGGACATAAATAATGGGACAACAAAGACATGTTTTATAGATATAGATTTGAGCTTATTTTTTTTAGCATTTGGGACAAAATAAATATAGATGATATATAGTAGAATTTAGCATTTTAGAATAGCATTTTAGTACACAAGATAGGATATATTTTTTGTTTTATAAATTATATAATATTAGGTATAAAACATATATATTTTGCCCAATAGGTACCATATAACCCAATAATATCTGCTGTATGGTCAGTTCAAAGACTAAACCATCCAGATATTATTGGGTTATATGGTACCTGCTCTTTGACACGTTTTGTCTTAATCTTTCTGCATGTCTAGCCACCTTCCTCACCAGAAAAACCTGATGGAGGAACTGATTAAGATCCAGGGCAGCACTAACCTCAGCCTGAGGCCCTGTAGGGATGATGAATGGAGGCATGATGTCGCTATCACTAGTGATCACTCCAAACATCATGATGTTCACTGGATATATGATCCAACGCTTTCCGAATCCTCTGCACTGTCCTCAGATTGACACCCAAACACTCTGAAATGTTTGTATTGGATCTTCTACTGCATGCAGCTTTTCTAATTTCTGGAAGAGTGAATTACATCATGGTGGTTTTTTTCTCCCAACTGACCCTACTATAGTGTGCACTTAAAAAAAAAAACAAAAACAAACAATGCACAAAATTAAAAATATAAAATGAAGACAATTTACCCATCGCACCCTGTAGGTTATGGTAACTTTCTAAGGATAACATAGGTGAGGCACAAAGCCAAAAGTAGCAATTTTCCAAGTGCAGCTTAGACGTGGCACAAGGCCAAAAGTATGGGGCGTCCAGAGACGATCAAACTCAGTTGTAATTGTTCTAGCAAGACAAGCTTGCTAACCATTGCACCATGTTGAAGTGCTGAAATGATTTTCTATGCATATCTTAGATGCGGCACAAAAGCGGGGGGGCACCCAGTGAGGATCGAACTCACTACTCAGTTGTAATTGATCTAGCAAGATGAGCTTGCTAAGCATTACACCATGTCAAAGTTCCTAGGTGATTTACTAAGATATGGTACAAGGCAAAAGTATGGAGCACCTAGTGAGGATTGAATTGCTCAGTTGTAATTCATCTAGTAAGACAAGCTTGCTAAGCATCACAACATATCAAAGTGACCAAGATACACTATGTACCAATAAATACTTCTCCACCTTTTAGATATGTTGGAAGGAACTGGTTAGAGGGGGCAGTGATCCTAAGACCACGCCCAATCATGGGACTGATGATGATTATGGATAGCCACACATTGATTCTGATAATACACACATACTAGATTTCTTTACCATGCCTCACATCTGAATCTGCCTTTAAGCTTTTAAAAAAAAGTCATACACAAGAAATAATATGACTTTGCATCAGGTAAGAGAATTTGCAAATTCCATTTTTTCATCTTTTGAAAAAATTACAAACTTTCTTGAAGATGCCTCCTGCCCCCACTGACCAATAAATAAAATTAAAGGTATTAAAATGTCAAATGTTTCAGACAAATTCTTCATAACAAACACTAATTTAACTCCTTTAAATACTGTAAAACCGTTAGCTTCTTTTTTTTTTTTTGAGATACCAAGCTTTAAGTTATTATCTTTCAAAACCAAAATTTAACATATAATACCATCGGGGATTTGGTTTCAATAGTGCCGAGAAATGGCGTTAAAATTCTGGTCAGTTTGCGGGCTAGTTTATGTAGGACACTGTGTATCCCTAATATGATAGGTCTCATTGGTATGTTCGGTTTATGTGTTTTTGGTAATCCATATAATGTGGGTGTTTTTGGATGGTATTCAATAAGTTTTATCCAAGAGAAGTCTTCATTTTTTTTAGCAGCTTTTTGATGTCACTTATGAGTGTTTGTGTTTCTTTTATAGTTTTGTTTTATTTAATTTTATAAAAATTAGAAACATCCAAAATTCGCTAGTATAAATTATCCAAGAGTAGGTACTGCCAAAAACTACAATTTAAAATGCGTTTTAAAAATAAAAAAAAAATTTTCTTGAAGCTTTTATTTTAGTTTTAATTTCAAGCTAATAGATTAAATCTAATATTTCCAATAAGCAAAATACTAATTTAAATTAAGTGGAATTAAAAAAAAATGCTAAAATCAGCCATAAAATAGTATATAATTCAGTTTATTAAAAAAAATCTTTTGAAAACAATATACTTTTCTGAATCTTTGAGAGATTAACTGATTTAAAGTTTTAATTAACCTGAATTAAAACAAATCTTACTTTTAGATTAAACTATGGCAGAAAAGCATTCTTTTAACACAAAAGTTGGTGTTGACA